GTGGCCTCTCCCGTTGTGGAGCACAGGCTCCGGACGCGCAGCCTCAGCGGCCATGGCTCACGGGCCCAGCCGCTCCGCGGCATGTGGGATCTTCCCGGACCGGGGCACGAACCCGTGTCCCCTGCATCGGCAGGCGGACCCCCAACCACTGCGCCACCAGGGAAGCCCTCGACAACATTCTTAAGTGCACTTTTTCCAGCTGTCCTGATTACCACCACTCCTAACTTTAGGCTCCCGAGCTCTTCAATCAACCCATGTCCAGTGCGTACATGTCCTCTGACAGCCATAATTAGACACATACAGTCAGTGTATACGTTTCTCCCCCATCCCCTTCCCTCTGGTCCTCATCAAACTCAAATCTCTTCAAAGCCTAAGACAAAGTTTATTTTGTTCGCCGCCCCCCCAGTGTCCAACGCGCCCCGCGGGCGCTCTAGGAACGCGTCCTGTGGTGTCGCGCGCTTTCAAGTAACCCATTGGGAAACCCTAGCAGGACGCGGGCAGGACTGCATAATGAGGGGGTAGGGAGGGCAGCGCCGGGTCGGGCCCGGACCACTCGGCCCTCTCCTCTCGGGTCCCCGCCTCTTCACAACGTCGTGCGCCTCTCCTCACAACCCGGTACAGCAAGGGACGCCCACCCCCTCCACGCAGCTTTACTTTGACTCGTCTCTGCATGTGGTTCCGCCATTCCCGCTGCACCAGGACCGACTCGTCAGCTTCCTCGTCAAAAACGTCCCTCTCCTCTCCAGGACCCTGGACCAAGGAAGCGGCTCGTAACCACGACATCACTGAGGAAACCTCAGAAGCGCCGGCGCCGGAAATGCCGGCAATTCCTTCCGGTCCGCGGGGCGGGGCGAAGACTGAGGAGGGTGGGTTGCCTCGCGGGATGCGTGCGCGTGCGCGTTGAACTGCGCGTGGGTGTGCGCGGTGTTTCGCTGTTGGGAGGACGTCCCGGGAGGGTTTTGAATCCCGGTAGGGTCTTGCCTCCCGCCCGAACCTTTTTGCTACCTGGTGTTGTGGCAGCTCTCTCACTTGACTCGAAGTGTGGGCGTGCACTTATTGTGGGCGAGGCAGATTCCTCCCAAGTGGGGCTTGTCCGACCTTGACCTCTGCAGAAGGCGGTGCCTACCCTCAGAGAAACCCTGTCCCTTCCCACCAAGGTCTCTACAGGGGTCGGGTTTTGGAGACGGGCGCATTGGCAAAACCTTTCAAGGTAGTTCTTTTGAGGGATTCTGTCTTAAAATCCCCCTCAGGGCTTCTCTGGTGGTGCAGTGGTTAAGAATCCGCCTGCCATTGCAGGGGACACCGGCTCGAGACCTGGTCTGGGAAGATCCCACATGCCTCAGCGCAGTTAAGCCCACGTGTCACAACTACTGAGCCTGCGCTCTAGACCCCAAGAGCCACAACTACTGAGCCTGCGCGCCGCAACTTCTGAAGCTTGTGCACCCAAAGCTAGTGCTCCTCAACAAGAGAAGCCACCGTGATGAGAAGCCTACGCACAGCAACGAAGAGCCGCAACTAGAGAAAGCCCGCGTGCAGCAACAAAGACCCAACTCAGCCAAAAATAAATAAATTTATTTAAAAAATAAATAAATAAAAATAAAATCCCCCTCAGTACATTTAAAGGTTTGGACAGCCCAACTTTTTTTTTTTTCTTTCGGTACGCGGGCCTCTCACTGTTGTGGCCTCTCCCGTTGCGGAGCACAGGCTCCGGACGCGCTGGCTCAGCGGCCATGGCTCACAGGCCCAGCCGCTCCGCAGCATGTGGGATCTTCCCGGACCGGGGCACGAACCCGTGTCCCCTGCATCGGCAGGCGGACCCTCAACCACTGCGCCACCAGGGAAGCCCCAGCCCAACTTTTTAAATTGTAGGAGTGTGGAATGAAGTACAATAAGATCAAAAAGTTAGATAGTGTGGCCATTTTGAGATCAATAAATAAAGAGTGCATTTATAAAACGAATTGTATTTCTCATTGATTCACAGTATCTTGTGCTGACTCCAGTTCCTTCTCAAATAACAGAAAAGGCTATTCGTGAGGACGGGGACTTGTTTATCTGTATGTGCTCAGCACCAGCACTGTTATGACCCATAGTAGACGTTGAAACATGTTAGTGAATGAATGGACACCAGCAGTATTCCTGTTTTGCCCTTTGCGTGCTCATGTGGTAATGATGACTTATTTAGCTAACATATTTTCTTGAATAACTACCTTGTGCCAGGCACCATTACAGGTTTTTGGGATACATCAGTGAACAACACAGACAAAAGTCCCAGTTCTTGGGCTTGACATTCATGTAGAGTTGACAGAGGATAAACAATAAGCACTATATAAGTAAATTATACAGTTTTTTACAAGATCATAATAATGCTATGAAAAAAATTTTAAAGCAAGCAAAGTAAAGAGAGCTATATGAGTATGTGTGTGAGTGAGAGCAGTCGGGTGGTACAGGTTATAATTTTAAGTATCCAGAGAGAACTTTTTTGTATATATATTTTTAATATATGAAAAAATATATGATATATTTGGTAGGTTCATGGAATATGTATAAAAACATTGTATACTTTGCCACAAAAAATACCTTAATAAACTAAAAAGAATAAAGATTTTTACAGGTCATATTCTCTGATCATAATACAACAAAATTGGTAATGAACAATAAAAATGACCCCAATAATTTTAACTGTAATTTAAATATAATATTGGACATTATAAGCACCTTCCTAAATAACATTTGGATCAAAAAGGAAATAAAAATTAAAACAACATATTCAACAAACAATTGAAATCAGATACTTCCTACCAAAATAACTTGGGAACAAATGAAAGCTACCCTATGAGGCAATTCTGTAGGCTTTGATGTCTTTATTATTAAAGAAGAAAGAAAAAAGAGACAAAATTATTATACATCTTAATTAGAAGCAAAATGGTAGTAAGGGAAGCAATAAAGAAAACAATCGAAATTAATAAAATAGAAAAAACCCTCAAACCTCATAAGTAAATCCAAAAGCTGGTTCTTTGGAAATACCAATAAAACAGACAATCCTTTTTTGACCCTGATTAAAGAAAAAGAGAACAAAATTATACAAGATAGAAATGAGAAAGAAGGTAATAATAGAGAAAAAATTCAAATATTATAAATCACTAACTAAAACTCAAGAGTAACACATTTGAAAACTTAGCTGATATGAGTAACTTCCTAATAAAATTGATCCAACAAGTAGAAAACCTGAAGAAACTAATTACCATAGAAAAATTGGAGATTAAATATCTACTATAAAAAATAGCATGGAGACTTGACAATTTCACAGTTAAATGCTTGAAATCCTTTTTAATCTTTAAAGAATGATGGATAATTAAATGTTATTTTTTACTCTTCTAGGGCACAGAAAAAGATAGAAAGTCACTAAATCATTTCATGAAACAGCTTTACTGTTACCTGCTAAAGCTAATGTGAAAAAACCTCAAAGTTCAAGTTAGCTTATGAATATATATTCAAAAGAGAATTCAGTACCTTATCAAAGGAATAATTCAAGAGGTTTTATTTCATGAAAGCAAACTGTGCAATATTAGGAAATCTGAGAAAATCCATATGTTGTACTAATAAAAGTGGAAAAGTCATTTGAAAAATTAAAAAAATCAATCTTAGCAAAACAAAATAGAAAGAAATTACAAATTGATAAGGATTTTATAAAAAAGTCCAACAGCAAGTACTATTCTAAACACTGAGATATTAAGCTATTTCCTTTAAAGTAGGGAAAAGAGAAGACATCTGGTGATCACCATGATTATTCAAGATTCTTTTGGAGACTAGTGAATGCAAGAGGGAAGTAATCTGTATAAATGTTGGATAATAAGAGATGAAGTTATTTATTTATTTGCTGTTGATGTGATTGTATGCCTAGAAAATCCAAAGGATTTTGGTTAAAAACAACTGAATAAGGGAATTTGATAAGGTCTCTGGATATAAGAAACATAAACAGACCAATAGTCTCTTTATTTTCTAACAGTAACCATCTAGAAATGTAGATGAGATAAATATTCCACTTGCAATACCAACGAATACTATTAGATATAGTCTTTATATATTCAGTATTCGGTATTTATTTAGTATAGTATTTATAAATGTTGGGAATACATTTTAAAAACTCAATTTTATTGAGGTATAATTTACATGTGGTAATATGCATACATTTTGAGTGTGCAGTTTGATGAGTTTTGACAAACATATATACCTGTATAACCATCACCCAATCAAGATATAGAAATTTCCATCACCCTAGAAAATTCCCTCATACTTCTTTGCAGTCAATCATCAATGCCTCACAGAGGCAACCCCAATCTAATTTCTACCACTCAAGATTAGTTTTGCCAGTTTTAGAACTTCATAAAAATGGGATCACATATGTCCTTTTATGTATTTGGCTTCTTTGACTCAAAATAACGTTTTTGAGATTCATTCATGTGATTGCATGTACCATGCAAAGAACAAAGGTTTGTTCTTTGTTTTTGCTAAGTGCTCTTTTCATTGTATGGACATAGCATGGTTTGTCCATTCACTTGTTGTTGGACATTTGGACTGGCTGTCGTGAATAAAGCTGCTATGAACATCCTTGTACGGGTCATTTTGTGTACACATGTTTTCTCTAGGGTAAATATCTAGAGGTGGAATTGTTGAGCCAGGTGGTAAGTATAAATTTAACTTTATAAGAGACTGCCAACCTGTTTTCCAAAGTGATTGTACCACTTTACACCTCCACCAGCATCGTATACGAGTGTCAGTTGCCCTACATCTTGTTGTTCCTCACTTGGAAAGAACTGTCAGTCTTATTTTTTTTTAATCTTTAAAAAAATTAACCTAAAAAAACTATAAAATTAAAAAAATTATAGTTGATTTACAATGTTGTGTTAGTTTTAGGTGTACAGCAAAGTGATTCCATTTTTTATATATATATATATATATATACACATATATATATGTATGTATATATATTGTTTTTTAGATTTTTTTCCATTATAGTTTATTATAAGTATGTCCATAAAGCTCATAACTTAAAGCCCCATCCTGACAACAGATGGGCACCAAGGCAATTGCTACAGCTTATTCTTTTATCCTTACTTTCATTTAATAGATATTTGTTGAGTGCCCAGTGAGACGGGGCCACAATACCCAGCAGTGTAAACAACAGAGTTGCTTTCACCAAGCATTCATCCTTAAGTTACCTGAATGGCGTTTGCATTCTGTGAAAGGCCTCTCCACGTTGCCTACGTCATCCTTGGCACATAACTTTTTTCACAGAAAGCAGCTCGATGCCCCAAGAGCAACTATCCGCATAATCGGCAGGTTAATCAGCAGGTGAGCTCAGGTGTTTGCTGACTTGTGGAATCTTGTCGTGGGGACAATGTGCCAGTATTGCTCTGGACTCATCACTGAAGAATGGCACTCTACTTGCGTCCATGACCAGACTTGCGGCTTATACCTCAGCAATTTATTTAAATTATAACCCCCTCCAGTGCCCTTCAGTGGCCTCATCTGGGTTGTGCTGGCCCCCAGTGGGCAGGATGGGCATGAGGTGGGTGGCCAAGGATGCTGTGTCTGCACGGCTGCTGGAGGCACTGAGTGAGTCTGGGGCCAGCCTCCTGCTGTCTGCTGGGGCTGAGGCAGGAGGTACCACGGTTCAGCAGTGACCTAATTCTCTCCACAGGCAGCCTGAACGAGTAGGCGGAGCCTGTGTCAGTCCCTGGCCCAGCAGGCCTGGGCAGCTGCTATCTGATCCCAAGAAGGGGAGGAACATGGGCCCTGCCCTAGGCGTGACACAGCCTCCCAGCTGGGGCAGGGCCCGCAGCACCTCGGGGCAGCTCAGGTTTGGCTAAGTTGTGGTGAGGAAGTTTCCT